AGTTCATGACTGTGTCAACCAAGCAACGGTGGTACAGCGAAGTTCATGGACTGTGTCAACCAAGCAACGGTGGTACAGCGAAGTTCATGGACTGTGTTCAACCAAGCAACGGTGGTACAGCGAAGTTCATGGCTTTTCAACCAAACAATGGTGTACAGGAAGTTCATGGACTGTGTTCAACCAGCAACGGTGGTACAGCGAAGTTCATGGTCTGTATGTGTTCAACCACGCAACGGTGGTACAGCGAAGTTCATGGACTGTATGTGTTCAACCAAGCAACGGTGGTACAGCGAAGTTCATGAACTGTGTTCAACCAAGCAATGGTGGTACAGCGAAGTTCATGGACTGTGTTCAACCATGCAACGGTGGCACAGCGAAGTTCATGGTCTGTATGTGTTCAACCATGCAACGGTGGCACAGCGAAGTTCATGACTGTATGTGTTCAACCAAGCAACGGTGGCACAGCGAAGTTCATGGCTGTACGTGTTCAACCAAGCAACGGTGGTACAGCGAAGTTTATGGACTGTGTTCATCTAAGCATCGGTGGTACAGTGAAGTTCATGGACTGTGTTCAACCGTGCAACGGTGGCACAGCGAAGTTCATGGTCTGTATGTGTTCAACCAAGCAACAGTGGCACAGCAAAGTTCATGGACTGTGTTCAACCACGCAATGGTGGTACAGCGAAGTTCATGAACTGTATGTGTTCAACCATGCAACGGTGGTACAGCGAAGTTCATGGACTGTACGTGTTCAATCAAGCAACGGTGGTACAGCGAAGTTCATGGTCTGTATGAGTTCAACCATGCAAGGTGGTACAGCGAAGTTCATGGACTGTGTTCAACCAAGCAACAGTGGTACAGCGAAGTTCATGGACTGTATGTGTTCAACCATGCAACTGTGGTACAGCGAAGTTCATGGACTGTATGTGTTCAACCAAGCAACGGTGGTACAGTGAAGTTCATGGACTGTATGTGTTCAACCATGCAACGGTGGTACAGCGAAGTTCATGGTCTGTATGTGTTCAACCAAGCAACGGTGGTACAGCGAAGTTCATGGACTGTGTTCAACCAAGCAACGGTGGTACAGCGAAGTTCATGGACTGTATGTGTTCAACCATGCAACTGTGATACAGCGAAGTTCATGGACTGTATGTGTTCAACCAAGCAACGGTGGTACAGTGAAGTTCATGGACTGTATGTGTTCAACCATGCAACGATGGCACAGCGAAGTTCATGGACTGTATGTGTTCAAAAATGCAACGGTGGTACAGTGAAGTTCATGGACTGTATGTGTTCAACCATGCAACGGTGGCACAGCGAAGTTCATGGACTGTATGTGTTCAACCATGCAACGGTGGTACAGTGAAGTTCATGGACTTTATGTGTTCAACCATGCAACGGTGGCACTACGAAGTTCATGGTCTGTATGTGTTCAACCACGCAACGGTGGTATAGCGAAGTTCATGGACTGTGTTCAACCAAGCAACGGTGGTACAGCGAAGTTCATGGACTGTGTTCAACCAAGCAACGGTGGTACAGCGAAGTTCATGGACTGTGTTCAACCAAGCAACGGTGGTACAGCGAAGTTCATGGACTGTGTTCAACCAAGCAATGGTGGTACAGTGAAGTTCATGGACTGTGTTCAACCATGCAACGGTGGTACAGCGAAGTTCATGGTCTGTATGTGTTCAACCACGCAACTGTGGTACAGCGAAGTTCATGGACTGTATGTGTTCAACCACGCAACTGTGGTACAGCGAAGTTCATGGACTGTATGTGTTCAACCATGCAACGGTGGTACAGTGAAGTTCATGGACTTTATGTGTTCAACCATGCAACGGTGGCACTACGAAGTTCATGGTCTGTATGTGTTCAACCACGCAACGGTGGTATAGCGAAGTTCATGGACTGTGTTCAACCAAGCAACGGTGGTACAGCGAAGTTCATGGACTGTGTTCAACCAAGCAACGGTGGTACAGCGA